TCTGTGAGGGGTACATAGTACAAATGTTATATCTATTTTATAACTGAAGAAACTGTAATTGTGGGGGTGATTTTCCCAGAATCATAGGGCTGATAAGAGGCAGAACTGGGACACAAACACCAATATCTTCTCAATTCCACATCCCTACCTGACTCTATTATACCCTTCCAGCTTTGATGTTCTTTGTCTGCTCTGATGTCCTATAAAACCAGCCATTTATCCCAGTACTCACTCCCATACCTAGCACTCTGGTAGCCCCAGTACCCCTGGAGGTTCTAGCCTGTCTCTAGGAGATATTGAGGCACACAGTGTAATGTTTCTGAGAGCAAAAGGAAAGCTCTCAGGAGAGGCTGGGCTGAGAGAATGGGATGAAATAAACTGATCTCTAAGCTCCCTTCTAACTCATTCTAGTCCAAGGAAGGAGAGGAGAGATCTCACCCCTAATCCTTTCCTATGGCCATCCTCACCCCGCCACCCCTGGCTCCCAAACTTGCAGGAGTCCCCAAGCCTACTCAGAGGGCATCTAGCCCAACCCAGACCTGAACAGGAGTCCCATCTTCAGCATCCCCCCCAAACTGGTCCTCTAGCAATCAAATTTTCCTAAGCTCACCTATTCTGCTGTGGAGAGAGAGTGGCTCTGATGATAACTTTTTACTCAGATTGAGCTGACATCTCTCTTTTGGCAACTTTCAGTCACTTCTGCTTTCTTGGGTCAAGCAAAACATGTCCAACCCTCCTTCTACTAGTGCTTGGAAGCAGTGAGTATGACCCCATCCCTCCTATTATCCAAGCTAAACATCCTCAATTTCTTCACCTGACCCACATGGCATATTTTCTTGTCACCTCATCCTCTCGGTTGCCCTCCTGTGGGCATAGGAGGATATGGCACAGGAACTGAACAGAGAGAGAGACAGAGACAGAGAGAGACAGAGAGAGAGGAAGGAAGGGAGGGAGAGAGGGAGAGGGAGATTTTCAGTCATTTTTAATCCTGACTCTTCATTTTGGTGTTTTCTTCGCAGAGATACTGGAGTGGTATGCTATTTTCTTCTCTGACTCATTTTACAAATAAGGAAACTGAGGCAAACAAGGTTAAGTAATTTGCCCAGGGTCACACAGCTAGCAAATGTCTGAGGTCAAATTTGAATTCAGGTCTTCCTGACTCCAGGCCAACACTCTATTCACTGCGCCACCTAGCTGAACACAGTCCTCCACGTGTGCCCTGACCAGAGCTAGGGGATAGTAGGATTACTTCTATCTTCAGGACACACTGCCTCACTTAATACAGTCTTAAGTTCCTATCTACTGTTTGGCATACTGTTGACTCATAGAGCTTGTCGTCCACTAAAACCTCCAGCTCTTTTTCACAGGTATTCTGTGCTTCCTCCACACTGTACTTGTGGAGTTTGCGTTTTGGACTGAGCCAAAAACTTTATATATGATCTGATCTATTTAAGTGAGGAAAACATGGTTCCTGCCTTCTGGGAGTGCGGGTCATCAGGGGAGTGATGAGACTAACCCTTAGAATGGGGCATGGTGGGGAATATTTGCAGAGCTCCCTTGCCCTGGCTAGCCTGCCTTATTGCCATCCTGGACCCTCCCCACAGATTTAGTAGGTCTGGAATGAAGGGGATGGCAGAATACATGCCCACACGTTAGAGCTCAAAAGAGACTTTAGGGTTTAAGCCCCTCATCTTAAAGATCAGAAAACCAAGGCCTTGAAAAAAACAACTAATTTGTTCAGGGTCACAGCCAGTAAGTGACAAAGTCTTTGTTCCATGTGTCTCACAGGGTCACTCAGTACTTAAAGATCTGAGTCACAAACTTTTTTAGAGCTGAAAGGAATCTGATCCAGTTCACATCCCTCATTCTATAGAAAGGGAAACCAAAGCTCAGAGAGGCAGGACTTGTCCACAGTCACCTACCTAGTAAATCAGAGAGCCAGGATTCCAAGCCAGATCTCCTAGTTCTCAGATTCAGAACTTTAGTTTACAAGGATCATAAACCAGTCCCATGTTATGCCAACTAGAGTTGGCCTTTAAATAAGCCCTTTGGAAGAGAATGGGGGCAGAAAACCAGGTGAAGGACATCCCTTCCAGGACCCTGAAACTCCCATCAGTGGTCCTAGTGACCTGCTTTATGATCTTACCTTGGGGGAATCAGTCCCCAGATTCAGTTCCTGCTAGGTGAGGCAGGATGACTCCTTGTTCTGTTCTCCAGGATTTAGTGGATGAGTCTGCCTTAAAATAACAAGATTTAGAGCTGGAAAAGACCAGGACCTTAAAGATGAGGCCCCTAGAAAAATGCAAGGATAAGCAGGCACTGCAGGAGCAGAAATCAGAACCAGTGGATAAGAACATAAAAGTTTATGGGTTCTTAGGGATCATTTGGTCCAACCGGCTCACTTTACAGAGGAAAATGAGTTTAAGAGAAGGGAAGGGACTCACCCAAGGTCACAGGCCAGCCCTTTGGAGCCAAGTGTCCATCCTAGAACATTCCATTCTGGTAACTCAGGCCCCTGAAATCAAGAGCCTTAAGGAGCTCCCAGCTGGGGAGAGTCATGGGCCAGAGGGCAAGTTAAACCCTCTGCCCTGGAGCTCCCTGCTGACAGAAGCTTGGGAGGCCCTGAGAATGTGCAGGCAGGACACACAGCCAGGATCAGAGGATTTTAGAGCTGGAAGTCCCCTTGATTTTTTTTTTTTAAGTTCCATTTATTTCAATTAACAAGCACTTATTTTCTCCCACCCTTTGGAAAAAAAAGAAGAAAAGACCCCTTACATAGTCAAGCAAAACAAATTTCTGTATTGGCTGCATCTGAAAATATGTGTCTTACTGTATCTTGACCCCTTGTCTCTCTGGGGGCAGGCAACTCCACGCTCTCTGTCTGCTAGAATTGTGCCTGGTCACTGCATTGATCGGTTTCCTTGAATCTTTCACAGTTGTTTATCTAGATGGTCTTCTTGTTCCTGGATAAATTGTTCTGCTTCTGCTCACTTCATTCTGCTTTAGTTCATACAAGTCTGTCTCTTCCCAGTTCCTCTGAAATGGTCCCTTCTGTCATGTCAAGTGAGATGATATTTGAAAAGTATATAGCACAGTGCCTGGCACCTAGTAGGTGCTTAATAAATGCTTATTGTGCTTCCTCTCTTGCCCCCACCTTCTTAGGGTGCAATAATATTCCAATACATTCATATCTCATATTTGGTTAAGACCTTCCCCAATTAATGGATAGCCAGCCCCTTAGTTTCCATTCTTTGTCACCACAGAGAGCTGCTTTTGTACATATTTTGGTACATGTGGGTCCTTTTCCTATTTCTTTAATCTTTCTTGACCCCTCATTTTACAGAAGAAATGGAGGCCTAGAGAGGGAAAAGAAGGAATATGCCCAAAGTCAAAAGGGTAGCAAGTGATCAAGTCAGGATTCAAACCCCTTCTGACTAATTCCCATACTCCTACTGAGCCACAATGATTCTCCATTAGTGTTCACTTTGATTTCCCTAATTGCATCTTCTGTATGGGCTTAGAGACTTTGATCTTAGCTTTGCCTCAGTCTAGGAAATATGGGCCTTTTTTTTTTTCAATGAAATCCCATTTTTCCACTTTTGAGCTGCTAACAGCTCAGCCTTTCTGCCCATTTCTAGTCTCCCTTCCACTTCATTTAAATGGAATCAATATCTCAAATTTGGGGAAGAAAAACACTTCAGAAATTTCTAGTCTTACCTATCCAATCCTACCCACCCAGATCAAGAGCCCCCTCTACAGCCTCCCTGACAGGGTCACCTGGCCCCTGCTTGTACCCCTCCAGTGATTCACTATCTCCCAGACTACCTATTCATTATACCTCTAGATAGCTCTAATGAGTTAAGAAGTCTTTTTAGCAAAATGTATCCAATCCAGGTCCACACTTGCCCTCTGATTCTGATCTCTGGGACAAGTACAACAAATCTAATGCCATCTTTATGACAGTCCTTTCATACTTGAAGATAATAATTGGGGGTGAGGGAAGGGAGGGTTTTAAAACATGGTTTAGTGGAAAGAGTACTGAATTTGGAGTCAAAAGCTCTGGGTTCAGATCCCAGTTCTGTCACTTCCTAACTGTGTGACCTTGGACAAATCATTTCACCTCTGTACTTCAGGTTTCTTCATCTGTAAAATGAGGGAGTTTAAACTAATACTCTCTTTGTGATCCCTCCTGGCTCTAAATTTATGATCCTATACGTCCACACAAGTCTTTTCTTCTCTAGGTTAAGTCGACTTTAGAACTTTATTCCTCAAATAGAAGGGGAAGGGGAAAACAGAAGGGGAGTGATAGAAGGGAGGGCAGATTGGGGAAAGGGATATGCAGAATGTACACCCATGTTGGGGTGGGGTGAGGGGAGAGATGGGGAGAAAATTTGGAACTCATGATCTTGTGGAAGTGAATGTCGAAAACTAAAAATAAATAAATTAATTTAATTTATTTAAATTAATTTAAAAAACATTTTAAGGTAAAAAAAAAAAGGAACTTTATTCCTCTTTGATCTCCTGTTTACAAAAGGTCACCACTTGGCCCCCACCCCACCCCAGTCCAGCTCTTGTGGGGACTGTCCGTCCCTTTCTGGCACTCATTGCTCTTTCCTTTTCTACCATGTCCCCCACCCCATCTCCCATCAAACCTATCTCCCTAATTTTATTCCATCTTTGTCCCTTCTCTGCAGTCCAAGAGAGCAGCATTGAAGAAATAGTGGAGAGACTCCTGTCCATGAAGATGCGGCCTCGGCAGAGCCCCAAGATCTGTAGCACGGTCAAGACAGCCCACAAGTGTATCCAAGTTAGCCTCGATGTAGTGGAACCCTCACCAAAGGGGAGCTCGAAGGAAAATGCCTCTGGGCCATCACCAGACAACGGCAGTATAGAGACTGTTAAAGCCATCCGTCTGCAGGCAGCTTCTACCACCCCCAAGCCACACCCACCCTCTCCAGCTGCAGCTGTAACCCCCC